ATGAATACGGTTTTATAATTCTGACATACAATATTCAAAATCAGATGCATGTTATTTGGCAGCAACCCGCTTTTCGCTGATTTAGACAACGTTGTGAACGTCATATCATACAGAAATTAATAGAAGACCATTGCATGTAAAATTGCCTTGTGAAAACCATGAACAGACAACAAACATTGAGTCAGTTTGCGAGGCCCGGTAAAGGGTTTGCAACTAACTGTTTTCCTAATACTTCAGACCAGGGAAACAAATGTGTAGTAGTGGTGTTCCGTTGTCGTTGTATCACCATGGAAACTGATGACGTAGAGACTTGCCAATCCCCTAGTGTTTGACGTAATCCAACCTCTCCACATTGGATATCATTTTTCGTTGTAACTGTCCTGCGCATAAATATACAATTGTCACTTTCAACTGGTCTTTTTGCAAAACATCTAGTGAGTTTTTCAAATCAAGTTGAATGTTTTTCACATCACATAGGACGTTTTCCGCGGATCGCTGTGTGTTAATCATTCAGTATACAATCATAGATGCTTGCGGGGAAAGGATTTGGGGGTTGAAGAAAAAAAAAAGTCCGTGGACGTGGCGGCATGTATCTCTCTCCGGGCGGCATGTATCTCCTCCCGGGCGGCATCCACCTTGTTTAGTATTTTGGGACAAAGTTGTCCTGGCCACATTTTTTCCCCATGAATTTGCTTATGGTATTCTGTTAAGAAATCATCCCGTTGTCGTTATTTATTCGTGCGTGACCTTTTTCCCTGGCTTAGAAAGAGGTCTGAGCTATTGAGAAACCAGACACCAGGGACAATGCCGTCTGTGACGCGACTGTTGGATACCCTGCGTACTTCAACTGTATCTGTCTTCTCGATGTTTTTTTTTTTTTATATCCTGCGTCATCTGGCCCCGGAGCAATGTCCGGGCAGTTCTTACTTTTGTTTTGATGTCTTCACGGGAGATTGACACCTTGTCCGCTTCTCAGTTTATTTCAGCTCCCCACCTACTTTCCTGTCGTCTCTGTCTGCAGGAGAAATCTATGCAGGAGGGCTTTGCCTTTGTCTTCCTCAAATGGTAGCATCGTCTCGTTATGTAACTTAAGCACAGGCGAGGCACACGACCGCTTGCCACCATTTGTCACAGCGACACCATGGCTGCCACTCGTTCAAAGATTATGTTGGGGTGGGGGGGGGGCGGATAGAGGGCGGGGGGAAAAAAAAGGGGGGGGGGGGAGATCGTTTATTTGTACCTCTGTGTATCTGTTCTTTCGCTATGATTCGTAGTTACATTGTATGTTCATTTGTTACATCTGAGTTCCAATCATTACATGTTATGTTCAGTCCTTACATGTTCAGTCATTGATTGTTATATGCAGTCGTTACTTCTTATGTTCGGTCAATACATGTTATGTTTATTCAACCAGGAACCACACAGCTGCATTGTGACTGAATCTTACCTGCTGGTGCCGTGGTCTTGAGTTCGAATCCGCATCGAGGCGGATTTTGTTAAATCTGATATGAGTTCCCAGGTCGACCAAACTTAAAGCGGGTACCAGGAAATGCCATAGGAAGTAAATACGGCCATCGAGATCTTGATTACATCCCAGTCGACTCCCATTTGGCCCATGCATTATGTGTTTAGCACCATATGTTTTATACCTTAATAGTCTGGCAAGGGACCTTTACTTTCACTTCCTTCTGTTTTTTCTTACATACACACATCCAATTTTTCCTTTTTCTTATCAAGCCAGACATCGGTAGCCCCATATTGAAAGAGCAACTGTTAAGTCTCCCAACTGCGTGGAAAAATTACGGAAAAACTAATTCTTCTTGAAAGACCACGAATGTACGTAAATTTCTTGGTCTATGATATAAAACTCTCTCCTTTCATATAATTATAATGATACCAGACCTTAATATTGACTCAATGTCATTCAGCCATAAGCCGCATTTATTGGGGGGGAAAAACACCTTCGGTTTTTTGTCCTTCGGGGAAGAAAATTGTATTCCCGGATGCGCACACGAAAGTACTTAAGCCAGCGGGTTCCCAGACGGGCTATTTCTAAAGTCATTTCTGTTTGTCAGCTGACTGTATAAGAAATATGTCGCTAAAGTAAGTCAATAAAAAGCGTGTGAAATCTAACAGTGCATTCGTATGCTTAACTCAATTAAGATGGACAACCACCTAATACAGGCTGATTTTTATTAAAAGTATTTAGGTTGTTATTTTGATAGGAAAGGAAATACGAAGAAAGAAATTATGACACAGAAGGCAACGGTATAAGTAGCTTCTAATAGCTTGAACAAAATAAGGAACTTTAAATTGTATAGATTTAAAAATTACGTATTTATAATTGTAATGTTATTTCAATTGTAACATACTCAGTTACAAATTGGAGAACCATTAAAGACATGGAACAAAAGTAAAATGCATTCGAAAACGAATCTCTGAGGAAATTGACGAAAATAACATAGGATGAATTCAAAGGGAGTAAATAAATAAAAGAAATGTCTGGACAGCCACTAGCATCAACAGTTACAAGACGGAGAAATGTCTGGACAGCCACTAGCATCAACAGTTACAAGACAGAGAAATGTCTGGACAACCACTAAGATCAACAGTTACAAGACAGAGAAATGTCTGGACAGCCACTAGCATCAACAGTTACAAGACAGAGAAATGTCTGGACAACCACTAGGATCAACAGTTACAAGACAGAGAAGTCGGCGCTGCATTGGACACATCAAGAGTGAAATAAAACAGTAGAGAATCACCAAACATGGTTAATAACCGGATTAGGGAGGCGAGGACGCCCCACAAAATAAAATAAAAAATAAAAAACATCAAACGAATGTTGTTGAGAGAGGCCAAAGCTGATGGTGGATTCCACCTATGATATAGAACTGATCACACAGGATAGAGCCGAATAGAGGAACAGACTGCCAGCCCTATGTGATATATAATGGCACAACAGGATAATGAAAGAATGAATAAAACACTAGTGAACGTTTAGCCTTGTGTGTTTAATGCTAAAGGTATATTCTTTTCCCAGTATATGCCAGTGTTTATTTCACTGTGTATTTAACTAGCAAAGTTCGTGGACAGCGATGTGGTAAATGCGCGGCCCGGTATAGCATTTGTTCAATATTTAAAATATCTACTTCTTGATTGTTAGAAAATAATATATGTTACTATATAACATTATCGGTGTCATTATTACTTGTATATACCACAATATTGGCGGTGAAAGGCAGTGGGTCTTGAACCTGAAGATTTAGGGCCGCAAGGCTACTGCAGTCGCTACAGACTGCTTGTTAGCGTGTTATTTGTACTTATAATATAGCAGGTCCTTTGCAGAACGTCGCTCTCATCACGTTCTTTGAAAGAAACTCGGTCTCTTGCTAGCTTTCCTGCCTCATGTATTTTCATATTCAAGGAGTCACTTATATCCTGTGCCCATCTTCGTGTTGGTCGGCCCCTGCCCCTCCTTCCTGGTACCATATATTCTGATTTTTTTTCCAATCCATCATGGCGCTTGATATGACCATAATATATTAGCTTCAGAGATATGGTGCTGCCTATTAGCCAATCTTTCTTGATGTTCATTTCTGTTTAAATGTCACTATTTCTTCTCTTCCGTGCCCATTACAATGTTTACAACCGATAGAAAACATCCGTCGTCTTAGCAAGGATTCGAACCAGGGTGTCATGACCGGAATCCCAGCGTTATTAGCCGTAGGGCCGCTGTTTATGAAATATATATATATTATTTATATTAGAGCCCCATTCCGGCAGGACTTAAGGTGACTTCTTAACCGTCGACGGGGCCTGAATATAATCTTACGGTTGAACGGGGTTTCTAGGACTTCCGCCCGGAGGACTCTCATCCGAGAGCTGGCACTGTGTGGCACCCAGTGTTAATCACTCGTTGTGTGGTCCTGGTGGGTTAAACGTGTCTCACTCACAACAACAAAAGAATTAAATCATAAGGCGGTCTGCTGCCAAATCGACAGCAGTTGGGATCGAACCCGGCACCTTGCGAACTGTTTCCTTTTAATATTATAACAGGGCTGAGGGCCTCTTCCCCTTTTCTTGGGGGGAAAGGGGGGGGGGTGAAGCGCTTGACACATTGACTGTGGCTCACCTATTGATCTCATTACTGATATGTAAAATACTAGTTTATCCGTGTCATTACTTATTCTTTATCAATCAAGTAGGCTATAATGTCGACCGGTGAAATTGAAAACCTGTGATTTTATTCGATTCTTCATCAGCCGCGTTGGTGTAACTTTGATGTAACATTTGACTTACTCTTCCCAACTTCGACCGTGTTTCTGTAACTGTTGACTCGTGCAGCTCTACAACAACTGTGCTGCCGGGATATTTGATTATTTTGTCTCTACAACAACTGTGCTGCCGGGATATTTGATTATTTTGTCTCTACAACAACCGTGCTCTGGGCTTTTGGGATATTTGACACTACATCGATATCGTTCGGGCAATATTTTGTTGTACATCGACAGTGTTGGTGTGCAATTTGATGCATTCGGTCTTATGTCGACAGTGTTCCAGTAACATTTTACACACTCAGCTCTACGTCGACAGTGTTCCAGTAACATTTTACACACTCAGCTCTACGTCGACAGTGTTCCAGTAACATTTTACACACTCAGCACTACGTCGACAGTGTAACAGTAACATTTTACCCACCCAGCTCTACGTCGACAGTTCCAGTAACATTTTACCCACCCAGCTCTACGTCGACAGTTCCAGTAACATTTTACCCACCCAGCTCTACGTCGACAGTTCCAGTAACAATTTACACACCCAGCTCTACGTCGACAGTGTTCCAGTAAAATTTTACACACTCAGCTCAATGTCGACAGTTCCAGTAACATTTTACCTATTCAGCTCCACATTGACAGTGCTGGCCTAACATTTCACTCACTCGGCTCGACGTCGACTGTTGATCTTCCTTTTTCTGACTATTCAGTGATTGGTGCCTCATAATGCTTGTTGATCTGCAAACTTTTTCTAAGACAAAAATGAAGAAAGTTTACGGTGATGATGATGAGGACGAAGCCGACCGAGGATGTGGCTTTGGTGAAATAAACAGTGACATGAGATATGAGGCACAAACTGATGAGTAAGTAAATTTTATTCATTTTTCAGTGCACGTTTATTTTGTCTGTCGGCTCTGTGGCTAAGTCAGTGCGAACGCTTCGTAATGCCGGGATGCGGGGTTCCATTCCAGCTGCAGGCCATGCGCCTTGCTTTTGGTTTCGACCGTCCAGGAAGCAATGGCAAACTACTGGAGGTAAATTTGCCTAGAAAAACCACACAACAGCCAGGAGCTGTTGGGATTGGTTATGCAACGACCTGTAAAGGATACGCAACTAACCTTTATATTGTCTATAATACTAGTAGCCGCCCAGTTGTAGATATTACAACGTGCTGTAATTGTGGAAAACTATTTTAAAAACAAGACGAATCATTATCACCAACTTTTGGGATCGGTTTTGCGAGGAATGATTGAACCCATTAGAGATGACGCCTGTGGAGAACAAAGAGCGAGAATGCTTGAATTTGAACCCCACTAGGACCGCACACTGAGCGATTAACACCTGGGGACGGAAAGTGCTATAGTTCACTATTCAGATGTGAATTCCCTAGGTACAAGTCCCAGAAATATGTTCAACCCTAAGGTTATATTGGGTTTCCCGGCGGTTACAATGTAACGTGACATCGATACAGGGTATGGCGTGCATTAAGAGTTATAAGCAACAATGAAAGTCATCATCTATCTAGATCACCAATATTTGTTTTTGTATCCAGAAGCCATGAGTTGTTAACCCTTAGGCTCGGTATTATGGATATCGCAACCTTTCGGCCTTGATTCCATTGTAAATACCGTAAATCTGGGAGAAAATGTGGCGTTCCTGCCTACCCCGGGAATGAACCCGGACCACAAGGAATTCGTCACCCGGTCTCCGCGCAATGCGGTTTAGCCAACTACGCTAGAGAGCGGGACTCAGGCTTCATTGCCGCTGATAGGCGAGGCAAACAGACTGCAATGTTTGAGCATGGAGGCAAGACTTGGGAACACAAAACTGGGTTTATAAATATATGGGTCTTGCGTCAAATGTCTGAGAGGCGCTGTGGTGTAGCGGCTGGACGCTCGCCTGCGGATCGAAAGGTCGTGGATTCTGGACCTGGCAAAGCCGGAGTTTTTTCAAACATGAACTTGGCTCTATGGTCGACCCAGCCTTGAATGGGTACCAGGCATAGTCCTGGAAAGTAAAGGCGTCAGGCGTGGTGTTGATTACATCACCTACCGAGTGCCGATTTATTTATAGAATACAGATCTAGCCCTATATGCCCAATACGCCTGAAGACATGGAAAAGGGTCCTGTACCCGATACTTTCTTTACGACTGACCTTTCTTCAGTTGAGTAACCTCTTTGCAGCTACCTGATTCGACACACTCAGATTATACAATCGCAGTATGGATGGCAGGCCAACAAGGACAATCTTAGTAACCTCCTTCAACCTCCAAAGAGCACATAGTTGGGCACCCGTTAACAGCAACACAAGCCTGTCTTGTGCCGGCAAAGGGTTCTTTATTAATATCCTATCCCAGATGACGTCACATGTCAGTCCAACATGTTAGAGGGTGGTAAGACTGGGTTTCCCGGCTTTCTGGTGCTTTTAACGACCATAAAACACCTAGATCTGGCCCTTACCCCAACCCATCTACATCCCACGGGAGAGTGCAGCCTAGGTCCCACGAATGCATGCAGTCTAGGTTCCACGACTGCATGCAGCCTATCTACCACCCCCTGAAATATTAGACTGCCCCGTGACCTATGGATTTCCCCTGTTTGGGGTATGATATTAATATAGCACCGGGCAAAGATTTACCTTAAGACTGAAACTCACACATATAAATCCACACTAATACAAACACATATATATATATACACAGATACTTTACTTTTCTAAAGATAGAGATATAAAAAGTACTCAAGTTTGGTACAAAGGGGAGAAATATTACACCCCCCCCCCCCCCCCCCCCAACTTAACAACTGTACATCTAAAGAAAACAGCCCAAACTATCCTAGTAAAATGCAAACTTCAAACATATAAAGGTTACCCTGAAACTTCTAACACCGTTATTTTGGTCAAAATAATGAGGACTGTCTTAATAAATTAATGTGTACCATAGAAACAAACACGTCGGCAAAAATAGCGTCATAGAGATGGCCTTTCTTTACGAACAAAAAAATATTTATTAAACAACATACCAAGAGTATAATTATCTAGCTACTTGTGGGTACAAGACGAAAGAATATCCACAGACTTCTAAAAATTCATATAAAGGTGATGATGTCGAAGAAATAATTAGTTTATGTTATCTTCTTCAAGATGTCATGTTTTTGGTAGCGTGTTTCGTAACGTCTCACTGCCTAAGGTCATGGGAAATGAAACAGCATAAAGCAAGTTAATTTGCAGTTTTCTTGATACAGTAGAAAAGTATTAACAGGCCTTTTTCAGCCGGCTGGACTGTAGACTTGTGCCGCCGTTGGTCAGGATAGGATAGGAGTAGATATACTGATTACTGTAGAGTTTTCCAAAGAGTAGGTCATAAGAAAGCTTTATAAACGATTACAAGCGTGTAAGGCAAGAGGTATGTACACATTTTGTAATGCTAAGATTGTCATTGTTTTATACAGTTAAACGGGATTTAAGGTATTCTCTCCTGTTGGTTTAGCAACCTAATAATGGGTCTTTAGAGGCACTTTTTGGCAATCTTTCAGCCTGTAATTCTGGATGATATGAATCGAAAATAAAAAATGGTGCCTCGATATCCTTTTTTCAGATGATACTAAAATATATAATTTCGATGCCTGAACTCAGCAGTAAGCAGTATTGGCGAAGGTCTTCAAGATTTTCACTTCATCATCATATATACTAATGTGATGATATTAGAATGCTATCATCTGACACTGTATTAAATAAATATGATAGTTTTTGCCCTTACCTGAGAGAACAGGGCATCCTACCTAATACTCGGCAGCCATTCATGTGTGGCTTCTTTTTCTTCTTCTTCCCTCTTCTTCTTCTTCTTCTTCCTCCTCCACCTTTTCTTCTTCTTCTTCTTCTTCTTCTTCTTCTTCTTCTTCTTCTTCTTCTTCTTCTTCTTCTTCTTCTTCTTCTTCTTCTTCTTCTTCTTCTTCTTCTTCCTCCTCCTTCTCCCCTCGTCTTCTTATGAATTTTCAATTGTGCATATTAAGATGTATTTTTTTTTTAGGTTAGAGGCCGACAATGTATCCCTGTGCCACTTCAAACTCTACACTATGACTAATTCGGCAATAGTAATTGGATAACACGATAATATGGGATAGGGGTGTTGTTTCTTAGAAAATAAGGCAGGGATTGGCCATTGCGACGGTGGACACCGGCTGTCAAGGACACCAGTGGTCAGAAATTTCACCGGGGAGTGGGAGGTGAGGGGGGGGGGGGCGCAGTTGACACTGACAAGGTACACTTTTCTATTGTGCCGTGAGCGACCTTCAGCGAAGAACCTGCTACTTAATGTTAGCTAACTTTACTTAAACCGTTTAAGAAAGAGTTCAATGAACTGTGTATTATAATCTTCTTCTTCGGCATTCCGAGCCTCTGCAGATAGCAACCACCTCCATTCATCTCTGTGATTAGTCCTCTCTTGCCAGTTGGTAACTCCAAATGTTTGCAGGCTGCCTGTATAATATCTATTCCCTGATTTCTTGGTCTGTCTCGTGCCTTTATTACTGAAGTGTCATTATTCGTTTAAATCCATTCTAAATCGAAGCTTAGATATATTGTTTCGCAACGTCATTACGTTTCAAGAGGTGGCTGTGTCGACACTATGCTTCGACTTCCAAACTGGGGTTTTTTTTTTTTTTTTTACCTGTAAACAGAAAATTCATTAATAAGACAAGTTTCAGAATTTACAAAAACACATATGTGCAATTATTTCTTTATATGATAAAGAAAAGAGATAGTAATTTTCCATTCAGCATTCTATGACATGTTTATCACGACAAACTCGGCTCTCTGCGTTCAAACTTTTGCCAGTTTGGAAAGCGGTTCACGTTTCAGAAATTTGCATTCATTCTACAGTCTGATTTATAGTCGAATTCGGTCGCTTTTCGCGACATTCTCTACAATCCAAAAACAAATATTTACACAGTGTTGTATTTATGAATTTCAAATTAAGCTACAACTAAGGACCTCATAATAGTCTTTTTGTTTAAAAAAAATAATTTTTTCTTCACACATATATATATATATATATATATATATATATATATATATATATATATATATATATATATATATATATATATATATATATATATATATATATAATATTTAAATCCCCGAAATGTTCAAATTTCATTAATATTATTTTGAGTATATTATCTCAGACATTTTTTGTCAAACTTATTATCTCAGACTTGTTATTTTAAAGTTTTCTGAGGTTACCTAGTGTAATTTAAAAGGATAGGACCTCGGGATCTTATTTACCTTGGGGCCTCATAAAATCTAAATCCTATCCTACTGTTATCATACAAATACAGGATTAGTGCTGTTGAGATGAGCTGAGTTTAGTTGAGTCCAGAATTGACTTCACAGAACTCGAGGCATTCCCATGCTTGCTCCGTCCTCATTTTAAGCAGCCAGCGCAGTTTTCAACACTGATGGTACTGGTCATAATCTGGTTATATGTCCTTCTTGTCTTTCCTCTGAGTGTAGTGAGCCGGCCAGACCCTCTGGTTATATGTCCTTCTTGTCTTTCCTCTGAGTGTAGTGAGCCGGGCCAGACCCTCTGGTTACACCCAGGTGCCTCTTTCTCTCCAAGCCATAATAATCTATTTTCTCTACTGATTCCAATGATTGTTACTAGTCTACCAGTCAGCCCTGCTAGAAGATTTGAAGCCGGAGGAACCAGAGTTGCCAGATAACTTAAGCTGAACTACTACCAAAATTACGCCAGAATATAGCCAGATAAAATGTAACACTGTACTCACTTCACATTGATTTGATTTGATTTGATTCAAGAACCGACATTACAGCACTCGGGGCATTCCCATAAGCGCTCCGCCCCTATCTTCAGCAGCCAGCGAAGAGTTCCAATACTAATGGTGCCAATAGCATTCTGATTAAACGTCCGTCTTGCCTTTCCTCTGAGCCTCGAGCATCTGCCAGAACCTCTCGTCACTCCCCGCTGCATCAATCTCATCAGACTGTGGGGATCCATCTGCTCCTCCGAACTGTACACGTTCTCCCACAAGGCACTAACCACGTCTGCCTTATCATGTATCAGTATTTCACCAAGTTGTGCAGAGTCAGCCAGTCTGTCCGCCTGTTCATTTCCTAACACACCGGCGTGCCCCGGTGAATATATACCAAGACAATACTCACTTCACATCAAAAGCTCTAGTTTGAATTCCTGACTGTCATCCTCACTGGAACAAGTGAAGGTACAGCGTAAACCTTCTCAGCCTTAAGCGCATGTGATATAAAAAATTTTTTTTATTATGAATGGACATATAGTTCTATGCAACTGTATGTGTTCCTATGTACTTACGGCAATTTGCAACTCTGCTGAATTAACTGTATGATTACTTTGCCTAGCAGTCATTGTTGTAATGAGCAGTGACTGGCTTTTTGACGGAGCTTCAAGTAGTTTCTGAACAGTCTGAATCGCTTGGTATAACTGTTGGGTTTTCATTTTATATCCCACATTTATTCTAGTAAATTAAAATTTTCTCTCAGTCATACCTCAGCGTAGCTGCAGAAGGGGAACACCCTCTGTATGAAGCTTTGGCTGCAGGCAAGAGTCAGAGGCTGAAAAGGGGAAAATCGTGGATGACTCAAGCAGAAAACACAATAAGACAAGTATGCATGCCGGAGAACATTGGACGAGGAGAGGAGTGGGTCAGAGTACCAGAGGAAAAGTCTGGCCTGTGGAGTGGTATGATCACATTGGGCCGGGTGTGCAGAGAGTGGCCAGCGGATGCTACGGAGGTTGAAGTCCAACAGTTGATTCACTACAATTCACGCCCAGGTGATCTGATTATCTGTACAGATGGTTCAGTGCTGAGAGGAAAGAGAAGTGCAAGACAGCCTAGCATACGACACAACAACATCTAGCATAAGAATAGAGGTGGAGGCAGTAACTGTAGCTCTCCGGTGGCTAGAGAACAAGATACATACACATGTCGCATTTGTAACAGAATTTGAAAGCATGCTGAAAAGGGTGAAGACAGGGATGCTTTGAGCAGAGTAGCAATCTTCACTGGAAAGGTCACGGATAGTGAGCATACTTTGAATCTTTTCTCCAGTCTATGCCGGCGTGGTGGGTAATGACAGGCAGACAGATTGGCTGGGTCTACACAACTGGGTGGTGAACTGATACATGACAAGGCAGATGTGGTCAAAGCCCTTTGGGGAAAAGCAACGGAATCAGTAGAGAAAGAAGATTATTATGGCCTGGAGATGTTGAGGCACCTGGGTGTAACCAGAGGGTTTGGCTGGCTGACTACACTCAGAGGAAAAGCAAGTCAGAAGTTTAACCAGATTGTGTCCGGTGCCATCTCTATTGGAACTCTGCGCTGGCTGCTGAAGATGAGGAAGGAGCATGCATGAGAATGCTCCGAGTGCTGTAATGTCAATTCTTGACTCAGCTCAACTCAACTTTCTCTCAGTAAACTCCAATTGCCAGCACAGATAAGTCTTCCAGGCTACGTGACTTCGTACTGCATGAAGTGTGAACGTGCTATGATTTATCCATGACCTGCTTTATTATAGTTAGATTACAGAGGGCCTTGGTTTATTGCAGTCACGATCCATTTATAACGGCAACTTATTGATACACTAATACATTAATAGATGGCGCGAATCAGGTCCGACTTTGGCCATTAATAGTCAGACGTGGTGCGAATCTCCTTTAGTCCGTGTACCAGCCGTACCGGGACATCGCAGCAAAGACAAACTTCAATAAAGATGGTAACTGTAGGATACATTGCTTTTTTGTAAATTAGCGTGTTTTCGCGAGGAACTAAAGAAAAAATGTGAGCACGTCTTGTTTAGAAAGCCAGGAAGAACCCAAAACACGCCAAAATACGTCAGCTCATTGTCTTAATCTAGCTCAGTTTCAAATACGCCACATTGTGGAATCTGGTGTTTAAAGCCAATATGGCAACCCTGGAAGGATCACATTTGGGAGAATCCACATCATGTGAGAATTCCCAGAAAACGACGCTATAAATAGTTCTATGACGTCACGGGTCAGGTCTGAATCTGTGTTTCCTGTTGTGTCCACAGTTCGTCTGCTGGTGGAGCCGCTAGCATGGCGGCCTACGATCGAGTCAACGATCCTCTCCTGAAGCTACCATTTTCCGTTACCCTAGACTTGATGAACACACTGGACATTGACAGAGGATGGGAATTAGTAGGTGAGTGATTCTAGTATAATCATGTCATGGGAGCCACCTCGTCTCTCTTCTGAGTTTAACAGAAAGTAAATGTTTTCGATTGGATTGGCTATTATGAGACTATATACAATGAAATAGTAGTAACAGTAACAACTTCGGCTAGTGTATTTTTAGAGGTAGGCAGGATTGCACTGGATGCTTCAGTTTTGAATGTATCCATATTTCCGTGATCAGTTCTGTTAAATACTAATGCATGATTAATTTTGTTGGATGTTTTAACTAAATTCGGTATTATTTGATTTACCAGATTCTGTGTTTTATGGCCCTTAACCCCATCCCCCCCCCCTCCCCCATTTGACAGGGTATACGGTATACATATACATCTTTCTGAAAACTTTTGTTTTATTGCAGTATATATTTTGACTCATTTGCTTTACAACTCTCCCTTTTTCTTGTATCTGTTGTATAGACACCTAGGATAGTATTATGCTCCCATCTTCAGTATCAGCAGTGTCCCCCCCCCCCCCCCTATTCGCCCCATTCCCCCCCCCCTCTATTCGCCCCATTCCCCCCCCCCCTCTATTCGCCCCCCCCCCCCACCACCACCACTCATTTGTCACAATTTTGAACACCTGCAGTATTATTCTTTCCTTGTTTTCTGTATTAATAATAATAGTTTTCAAAGAAATAATATTCTTTTCAACCATCAAGGTTATATTTGGGATATATTGTGTCCAGTATTTTGTCATTGCATATTTTTGCTGCTTTATTTATCATATAATCCCTAATCCTGGAAGCTCCCTGTTTATTTCTTTGGGTTAGCTTGATGGTTGAGTCCAGCGCTTTTATTTGTCTAGATGAACAGGTACTGCAACTTGCCAGTCTCTAAACTTGGGTACACACGGCAAAGTGTCTGTTACAGTAGCGCAGAACCAAACACGATGCCTTAAAAAAAGAAAAAAACTGCCTTTACTGCCTACCATCAGAGAAAAGCCAAGCTTGTCTCAAGTTTTTATCAACCCATGCAAGTGTTCAATCTTTCTTCTTCGCATTCACAGGCTGTAAACTTTAGCAGAAAGTTTTAAATGTTTATCCACTTCTGGACTTTAGTCTTGTTCCAGAACTTGAAGTTTGTGTGCACATCCATTTGACATATCTGGCTTATTTGTATGCAGACTGTTGGTTCCTTGCCTCTCAGGCTGATCCACTCCGACTTTGAAGGAAACCCCTAACTAATTAGCCAGCTCTTACATATTTGTTGGGGAGGCAGTTCCCCCCCCCCCCCCCCCCGCCCTTTTTTTTCCTCCACAGGGTCTCCAGAACCCACACAAAGAGTTACATCTTTCTATCCTGGCCAGTTGTTTGTTTTGAAATCTTTCTATTCTAAATAGTTTCACTTAAAATAGTTGTCACTCTAAATAGTTGTCACTCTAAATAGATATCTGGAAAGTCTGTAGAAGAGCCCAAGATAATATGCAGAAGGAACTATAAGTGTCACAGATAAAGGCATACAAAAGTAGCTGAAAATAGATGCTTTGATGTTATCTGTTACATACCTTTTTCCAGCAAAAAATGGAAAGAAATAGTATTCGTATTGAGATACTGCCATTTTTTTTAATGTAACTGGTTTTAAAAAATTATTTTTTTAATTTATGACTTCATTGATTATGCTTTAGTGTTTGTTTTTAATTCCTTCTCTGCAGTACTGACAATTATATATTTTTTTTTTTACTTAAGCGGCGGAAGCAGGATTTACATTTGATCGCATCCAGCAGCTCGGCTTTAAACTAACTCAGAATGCCAGTCCTACGCGTTCACTTCTATGGCAGCTTGGCTCTCTCAACTACACAGTTCAGGATCTCTATGAAATACTGAGACTTGCAAAAAGGGTGAGAGAGATGCGGACCTTGGAGGCTTATGGTGAGAAACTGTTTCTGTAAATAGTTCCCTGTGTGGGTTTTGAGTCCATGTTTGGGGGGGGAGGGGAAAAAAAAACAGATCCACTAATGTTTAACAGACAGGTTGACCGAGGTGACTTAATAAGGTTTTGCTGAAATAGGATGTGTTAGGCCAAGAGATGCACATATCATTGCCTAGTTGTAAACTAGAACTCAGTATGCCAACCGCCCTTTAAAGAGGGGGGTGGGAAAGAAGAGGATGCTAATAAATAGTCATGTGTATCCTATAAGGAAGTGACACCATCACATTATTCTTATTTATTCTTATCTTCAAGAATTAAGTAAACTACCACAGAAAGTTCTGGCTTTTCATCCACTTCTGGCCTTTGGTCTTGTTCCAGGACTTGAGATTTGTGTGCACATCTGTTTTACTGATCTGGCTTATTTGTAGACTGTTGGGTCCTCTTCTATCAGGCAGATGCACTTCCATTTTAAAGGAAACACCCTATTTATTTGTCTCCTTTGATGGTCGGTGGAAGGGGGGGGGGGGGCGTGGAGGAGCAGTGGGCAGTGAGTTTGTTCCTCCCCTCCCCCAAGTAGGGCCTTAGAATCCACATAGGGAAGACATAACTCTTTCTGTCCCCTACAGTTGTTACTTTTTGCTTGTTTTATCTCAAGATGTACTTGAAAATATTAGCTCTAAGTTGGTATGATGGATAATCTGTCATGGTAATTGCAGTTTTATTGGTTTGATGGAAATATCCATCCTTGACTTTTTACGATTGATATGGTTGGTATAAGGAGTTATAAGCATGTGACCTGCACTGTTGTGTATGTTACAGTTCTCAGCTTTGTAGAAGTATACGTTACAGTTCTCAGCTTGGTAGAAGTACTCTTCAGTGGCTGTCAGGGGTTTAGTCCCAGCTTTGTGTTCTAGAAGCAGTTTACCCTAACTTGAGACCCCTTTTGTCCTGTCAGGAAGTCTTCCTTGAGACAGATAACAGTTGTGTGCTTATAAGAACAGTTTCAATGAATATAGTCAATGTTTTTGGGACACATTATGAGAAGGAATAATCTTGCTAACTTTGTAACGGCTGGCAAGATTTGATGGAAAGAAAGCAAAAGGAAGCCAGTGAGATGAGTGCCTGGATAACTTGGCCAGATGAAGGGGTTGAAACAAGAAAACTGTCCTGATCTATGATTCTGGTGATAGTATGATATGGTGAAACATGACAGCCTACACTTATCTGCATGGTACAATGTAATGATTGTTAGTCGTTACAGGAACAGTCTTCACAGCTTTCCTGCTATTGTGGCATAATGTGGCCTGCAAGAGAGCACACTATTTACTTCCTCGATTCCTTATCTGATAATACACCAGTTAAGATCCTGGTTTCTGTCTCATTATTGTTTATTACTGTGTTTAGCAGTGAACTAGCAAGTGGGCTGCTGTTGTGTACAGTTTTTTTTTCTCTCATCATCAAAATATTGTATAAATGAGGTATCATATCCAGCTGTTAGTATTTACATGTAGTTCGCTGTTAGAAATACAATTGCTCAGAATATTGCTTGTGACAGCATTTCTTACAAAGTTGTTAAGTATTTGGTAAATTAGAAGTTATACGATAAATTAAACAAGTTGTTAGTCGGGCATTAATTTGGACAGTTAGGTTATACAGTGACCTGGAAAGTTATTATTGATAGGCCATCTCCGTTTTGATTTCTCTGAGTCTACTCTGTAAAAGTTTGATTCAACAGTAACCTTATGAGCCACACACTGGCTGTCAATCCAACAGGAGCAGATTCCCAATACCTCATTCAACCTAATAAGGTTAAAATTATGGACACAAGAATCAGAGACAAGTGTTATTTAATAGTTATATTTTAAAAAGCTCAAAGGAAAGAAGTAAAATACCATGTTCACAACAAAAATAACTGAGGCATAAGGTCCTACTCTATTTGCATGATGTATTTGGCAGCAGACTGGTCACTTTTACTTCCCAAGAAATTTTCTTGTAACCGTTCTAGGGTTGAGCTAAAGTCAGTTTTAAAAAAGTTTTTGAAATATCGGGGTGTCTTATAAGTTTTCTTACCTAGGATAAATAAAAGTATCTCCTCTGCCATTGCAAGCATAACGCCACCTGTGCTTATATATTTTCTTTAGCAGTGGAGGACACACACTGAAGTGTGTTTTCAAAACTATGGTAGTTGTGTAGAGAATATTATAAATAAAAATGGTTTTCATAAAAAACTGTTTATGTGACCTTTGTATAGAAATGATGAGACACCTTGATGTAAACGCTTGACCACCTAGTTAGCGGACAGGCTCACAGTTCAGCTGCCATCCATTCAAATGCCTTGACAGTAGAGAGACCCCAGGTCTGACCAGTTGGCATTCCTGGGGAACCAAGCAGCATGCATCAGTGGAGGACATGTGACGCACCACAGCATGTGGCTTTCTCATCTGAAAACTAGTGACAGGGAGAAGAAACAAATGTATAGACAACAGTTTCAATGCAAACATATATTAACACTCACACTAGGTAGTTTTGTAAAATGATCTCTTTCTAAACAGTTAAAGAAGGAGGTATGAAAGGTGCAGCGGTGAAACCGAAAAGTCCTCCATCATCTTTGTCTTCACTGCTCACTCAGATCAAAGAGTCAGGTTAGTATTCTTCAGTTGTTGTTTTTTTTTTCCACTTTTTAAATTTTTTTTTTTTAAAGATGGTTTGTTTATGTAATTAATAAATTACCTGCCTTAAGAAAAAAGGTGAAATTGCTTTATTATTATTAATTGTTTTTCTTTTTAAGCAAAATATTTTGTTTTGTGTGTTTGTCTGTTTTCATGTACACTTGAGACAGGATCAACATTTCTTCAAAGTCAAAGACTTTTCAAGCATTAACAAGTTCTAGGGTCCATTCATTCTCATAACACAGGGCCATTCAGCTAAATTTTTTTCAGGCGCCAGATTGTTAGAAAATAGTGACCGTCTCAAGCCAGAGGCCCGAATCCCAGCATAGAAAGAGCTTTCAGGGATTCCAGTACAATTAGCAGGGAATCTGTGGACCACTTGCTAGGCCTGTGCCAGATTTGGCCCATGGGCCGTCAGTTGAATAGCCCTGTCATAATATAGAAAAGTACATGTCTGTCTATGCTAGGCCTGTGCCAGATTTGGCCCATGGGCCGTTTGTTGAATAGCCCTAACATAATATAGAAAAGTACATGTCTCTTTATGTCTTATTTCTCTAAAATGTTATGGTTTTCATGTGCTTTGAGAAGGACTGCCTCATATGTTTTGCTACAGAGGAGGACAACCTAGCTTTCAGGAGCAGCCCGATTATATATAACACAAATTGTGGAGGATCAGCATGTTTTATCTGTGACTCAATGAGTATGCTTAGGAAACTAGAGATAGATTGGGCCTGAAGACAGTGGTTGAAGTCTCTGAGACAGTCGGGGGCTGACACATTATCAGATTGATATTCATGCCAGGGCACACAGGCATGCAAGGAAATGAGCAAGCTGATAGGCTTGCTGGTAAAACTACCATGGCATGCAGACATTCTCTGGGCAACATTGATATACTGAATGCTCAGTGAGAAATGAGGTGTTTGTGAGAACCAGTTGATGTCTGTGAATCTGCAGCCATGACCGAACTGCATGTTAAAAGGGGTGTGGCAAGAGAGCTGTATGCAGGAAGCCAAAGAAGAATAGGAAACCAACACAGAGAGGGTGTCATCAGCTGCTGAGTGTTGCAGGATTTACTGAGTTACAAATCTTGAGGTTGACTTGCGTACTTGGTTGACCGCACGTAACCATACTTAAATTATACATACTTATCATGTGTGATTGTGTATTGTGCGCAAGATTTTCTAGCAGCATTTCTAATTTAGTAAAACAAAATTGACATTTCTTTCTAAATAGACCAGAGATCCCAAGGGAGGCAAGGAATGAGTTTGAGTAGTCAAGGAAGTGAGCTTAACTTTAACAAACCATCATCCCCTATAGACAAAGCCAAAGTCATTCCATCAAAGAATTATGAAGATAAGGTCATTCCAGGCACAAATTCACCCCAGTTTCACCCATTAAAAGAGGTAATTATTATTTACTCAATATTTTTTTTAAGACTATTTATTATTTTATGCAGTGAAATTGAAAAAAAAAAGAAGAAAAAAAAACCTGTGCTAATTTGGCACAAAGTGTTAGACCTACATTTTTAATAACTCATAGGCACTTGATGGTTGATTTGATCAACATCATGCTGGCCATCTTTGCTCCCACGATATTTCCTGGTACCAGTTATAAGTTGTTATTATTATCACAAGGCTGAGGCGCTAAGACACAGTCTTATGCATCATTAGACAATATATAGTCCAATATTGTTAGACATCTGCTCTGTTGACTACTCTGCCGTAACTTTATGTGATCTAGCATATGGAGTAATATTTATTGTTTATTACTATAATAGTTTATATGTTTGGTTACATAAGTAGGCAACACACTGTAAAGTAAATATGTATGCCGACATAAATAAGCAAAATGCTATAATATGTGTTCGCTTACATAATTAGACTGTAAAATATAGTGTATCTAGTAGGCAATTTACTTTCTTCTTCTTCTTCTTCACTTCCTCTTTTACCGGTGTGGGTGTCGAGGGAGATATAAGGTTCTGTCTCTAGCTCTTCTGGCCGCCTCGAACATAGGCACATAGTGCTGTTGTAGAGTTTCTCTGATGTTATCCTTCCATATTGTTCTTGGTTTACCTCAAGCTCTACGTCCTTCTTCTCTTTCCAGGTATGCTTTGTATGGTATGGTGTCACAAGGCATTCTCTCTAAGTGGGCAAACCATTTCACCTGCTGTCTTCGTATGTAATTTACAATTGGTTCTGTGCCGACTTTTTCTCTAATGATCTCATTCCTGATGTGATCTCTTATGGTCACTCCTACAGCGCTTCTCAGACATCTCATCTCCATGGTTACTAATTTGGCAACTTACTTTAACATACAAAATATCAGCTTGCACGAATATACTTTCACACAATATGTTTTCTTACATGGCTAGGCAACATACTATGCTATATGTTTGCTTACATGAACAGGCAAATGGCAAAATTTCTAGGAACATGCCATCAAATCCTCACATTTCCCTGCCAACTGTGTTGCTCCGGACAGAAGGCTACACGTCCTTGCCACCTCTTTGTCAGCCATTCTCTCAACAGCAAGGCAAGTAGACAAAACATACATACATACATATATATATATATATATATATATATATACATATTACATTTGAAAATAATTTTCTTTTCTTTCTGTTTTTTTATATATATATTACATATTACACTGTAATTTTCCTTGTCTTTCTGCATCTGCTCCTACTCTCTTTACCCTCCTCTTGTTTCTGCTCATACTCCCCCTTTCTCCTCCTCTTATTTTTTTTTTTTTTTAACTACAATCTATCCCTTTTCTGCCCCTCCTACAGTGCAGACCTGATAAAGAGAACCCTTCAGCGTCCCAAGAAATGGTTCTTTTTATCAGAAATTCCGCTTATCCGGATAAATGTTCAAACAAGAAAAAGTGCCAGTGATAAACAAATTGTTGTAACAGAAATTGGCCATATATAAAATCACCTGAATCATTCTGCACTGTGTTTGTTTTTTCCCTCTGCATATTTCTGTTTTTATTTCCCCTTCTTTTCTTCCATGTATTCCTGCTTCTAGTATCTACTAGTTTTTATTTTTTTACTTTTCTGTTTAAACGCTACAGAGCGGTTATTAAGAATACAAGGGACAGAGAAGAAGAAAGATGCTGATATTGTTCACGATGTGGTAACTCTTTGGGTAGCAAGCAACTTGCTATGTTTCTGGATTACTCCAGATACAGCAACAAGATGCATACACATGTTGTAATTGTAACAGACTCTGGAAGCAGGCTGAGAAAAGTGAAGACAGGGATGCTTTGAGTAGAGTAGCAATCTTCACTAGGAAGGTCACAGGTAGTGAGCATACTTTAAATCTTTTCTCCAGTCTATGCCGGCGTGGTGGGTAATGAACAGGCGGACAGATTGGTTTGATCTGTACTACTGGGTGATGAATTTATATACCACAAGGCAGATGTGGTCAAGGCCCTTTGGGAACAAGCAACGGAGTCAGTAGAGATAGAAGATTTTTATGGCCTGGAGAGAATGAGGCATCTGGGTGTAACCAGAGGGTCTGGCCGGCTCAATACACTCAGAGGAAAGGCAATACACACATGCAACCAAAATTTGACCGGTACCATCTCTATTGGAACTCTTCGCTGTCTGCTGAAGATGAGGATGGAGCATGCATGGGAATGCCCAGAGTGCTGTCAATTCTTGACTCAACTCAGCTGCAGATACAGCATGCTTTTCTGGTATTTTCTATAACAGATAACTGCTACATTAACCCATGTTTCTGAATTGTTAGTTTAACTTTTCCTGTCTCATCATGTTTCTTGTGTAACTCCTTCAGATTAAAACATTTCCTATTTTCAAATGAAAATTTCTTAGAATAGGACAAGTTTAAGTAACAGCTGTCTGTGACTGAACAAGTTCATATAGAAAAAAACCACTTCTAAATAGCATCTTGTCTCAGAAAGTAAAATGCTCTATATTAAATTGCGTTTCCGGTAATTTAGAAAGAACGTTATTGGAGAACTTGGCTCCTGAGGGTAGAGACAGAGGCCATCCACCATGAAGGTGGACATAGGGTACTGGAAACAATTTGGCAAGGGTCAGAGGCTGAAAAGGGGAAAATTGTGGATGGCTCAAGCAGAAGACACAATTAGACAAGTATGCATGCTAGCGAACATTGGGCAAGGAGAGGAGTGGGTCAGAGTACTAGCCGAAAAGTCTGACCTGTGTAGGGTTGTGATCGCATTGGGCTGGATGTGCAGAGAGTGGCCAGCATGTGCTACGGAGGTTGAAGTCCAACAGTTGATTCACGACAATTCATGCCTAGATGATCTGATTATCTGTACTTAGTGTTGAGAGGAAAGAGAAGTGCCTGGGAGTTTATTGTGAAAGCCAGTGGAAAATCTTTAGTGCAAGACAGCCTAGCATATGGCACCACAACATCTAGCATGAGAATGGAGGTGGAGGTGGTAACTGAATCTCTCCGGTGGCTAGAGAACAAGATGCATACACATGTGGTAATTGTAACACTCTGAAAGTATGCTGAGAAAGGTGAAGACAGGAATGCTTTGAGTAGAGTGGTAAGCTTTACTGGAAAGGTCAGAGGTAGTGAGTATACTTTGAATGTTTTCTCCCGTCCATGCCAGCCTGGGGGGTAATGAACTGGCAGACAGATTGGCTGGATCTGTATATATATATATATATATATATATATATATATATATATATATATATATATATATATATATATATATATATATATATATATATATATATTATATATATATATACACACATATATATATATATAAAACTTCAAAACTCATTTACTCATTATTTTTTAAAACACATTTACACATTTTAAATTTGATTTATAGTATTTTTCAATATAACTTCTTTTTCCATTTTGCTCTTGAAAGGACAGTCGGCACGTTTTTGTGTGGTTTGCAGCTAGGCTATGGAATGTGCACCTCTTAGCTCAGCATGGCCATTTTCAGCACACTTTTAATTACTGGCCTTGTACTGCATGCTTGATAGTTGGCATGTGTGGCTTAGGCGTTGCGAATGCTCTTCATAATGCTGGGGTGCCAGGTTCGATCCCAGCTGCGGACTGTCTGTCTTGCGTTGGTTTCGACAGTGTTATTGAGAGCTGACTGTTCAAAGCAGTGGAAAACTACTGAACGTAAAATTTGCCTAGATAAACCGCAAGCAGCCAAAAGAAATGCTGGGGTTGGTTCTGTAGCGCCCTGTAAAGGATACGCAACTAATTTTTAAAAGGTGCAGTGGGTCTGTCCCTCCCCCCTCACCATGACCCACATAAAAAAGAATGGAGGGAATCCCAGTCTGGGATCTAATATTACTAAATAAACTGTTTATTGCTTTTATAGGACCCAGGACAGAGGGAGTGGAGAATATACCACTTAGTATTCATCACAGTTTTGCGGCAAACAAGAGCAGCCCAGCTCACAGTGTTGCTGCTTCTAGTTTAAACAGTGAACAGAAGTTGGATGCTTCTTCTTCAGCATCATCAGATCATGACAATCCCGGCAGCAAAGTCTCTTTCAGCTACAGAGAGCTGCTCAATGCTACTGATGGGTTTCACAAAAACAAGATCCTAGGAGAAGGAGCTTTCGGAAATGTTTATAAGGGCACCTTGCACCAACAGGAGTGTGCTATCAAGCGGTTATATTCTGTACGTATTATCCCTAATTTTGTTCTTATGTGTATCAGGGAACCAGGGAGCCACATTAATGTAACAGCCTGACTTAAGAATTCAGTTGAAAAAAGTATATGGTTCAGATTGTATTTCTTTCTATTGTTGACCTGACACCACAGATCTTGGGAGATTTCCATAAGTGTTCTGTCCTCATCTTTGGCATCCATCAGAGAGTTCCATTTCTGAAGATGCCAGTGCCAGTCTGATTATATATATGTCCATCTTGTCTTTCCTCTGACTGAAAAGTGTCAACCAGATCCCAAACTTGGCATTGCATCCCAGGTCGACCTAAGATAAAATGGGCGCCAGGTAATGTACTGGAAAGTAAAGGCGGCTAGCATAATGCTGACTGACCACATCATCCATGAATTGCAAATAGCTTTGTAAAACAAATATAGGTCTAGGACTATATAACTGATGCATCAAAGGTGCGAATTAATCAAGTAACAGAAAGTGTATTGATCGGCACTCATAGAAAGAATTAGAAAGATAGAAGAACATACTAGACCCAAAAAAAATCGAAAGCTATAGTTACCGTGCCGGGAATTGAACCTGTCATCTCCAGATGGTGTGTGCGCCTCACCATGGATACAAGTGCACCAAGAACCTGTCTGGAGATGACAGGTTCAATTCCCGGCACGGTAACTATAGCTTTCGATTTTTGTGTTCTTCTATCTTTTTACTTCTTTCTATGAGTGCCGATCAGTACACTTTCTGTTACTTGATTAATTCTTAATATTTAACCGCCTCAAAGGTTCCCCCTCTGTTTATTTATACAAAGGTGCGAAACAGGTCCTTTACTTGTCTACAAATGTGATCAAGCTAAGAGTCTGCTGTTAGGGTGGAACAATCTTTGCCTTTGGATCTTTGTCTGGTTCTGAATTGTGTGGATGCAGACTCTCCACCACCCTTAGCTTGTAGGTTAACTTTGTGAGTACTGCTGGCTTGTTCATTATTGGGAAACTTGTATGGCAGTTCACTGTCAGACAAGAACAGTCTCAAAATGGTCCACAGTTTACAGATTAAATAATCACAGAACAGTGTTGTCATTGTTCTGTCAATATTTGTCTCTATTGGACTAGCACACATTCATCATCTTTGTCTCTCCCTCTAGTTACCTGATCTCGGTGTTGAACGACATGTAAGGATCCTTTTTTGTGCTCTTTCTCATGCATTGTATAAGCTGATCCTCATTTCTTTGAGTCCTCTCTTGATGCCATAGTGAGCCTAGTTTTCCCCTTGCTCTGTATTCATTGTTTTTCTTCATCAAAAAGTGCATGGACAAGGGAATTAAAGATTGAATTGGAAAAGATGGAGAGAACATGGATTGAGCTACACTGGTAGCACACAGAAAAATTGCTACTGTTAGAAACAAAAATATTGCATACATTATGTAGCACTAACATAATTTAAAAAAAAAATTTTTTTTAATGTATTGGAGGGGTGTCTATTTTTTTTTTTTCTATAGTGGAGGAGTGTTTATTTTTGTTTCATGTGCTGAAGGGGTGTCAGCGCACAAACTGATACATGCTGTTAAAGTTTGCAGATTGTGGACAGACAGGCATGACATGATAACCCACACCAGTCGGCAAAGGCACTTGATGATGATGATGATACCATTAACTAGTATTTTGACATGAGATATATATGAGATATAAAATGTATGAACGTCTTCAGGGCATGACAACAGCCAACGTTGACCGGATCACAAATCATTCCTTTTCACAGCTTTTAACAACAGAAATGGTTTGTGGGTATGACTTTAATAAACTGTATGAGATAATATTAGAAACAATATTTTTTGTATTATTGCAGTCAACAACTGAAAGCAAGAAGTCCGACCAAGTGAAGTCTGAGCTTGCAGCTCTGCTTAAGTAAGTATATAAGTATCACCTGCCATCATCATCATGCTGTTATATATCCTATAGTTTATTCTTACATTCATTATATCCCATGTAGTTGTTTCAATATCACGGATGGAATCTGGTCCAGCGCCTTTGGCCTCTTTCATCAATGTCCATCTTAAAGTTTCTTTTAGGCATCACTTCATTAATATCACTTATGGTTACAAAATAATGATTGCAGTTACTGAATTTACTTTATTTGTTGTGATAGAAGTGTTTTCGATGTTAAATTAGTCCAGAGGCGATTCTCTTATGGTTTCATTTATATAACGACCAAAAAGGGAAAAAATGGCATACTTTCTTCAGGATGCTAAGATAAGTCGTGATTCGATACATCACAAGCTAACCTACATCAAATCAGCACCTGTAAAATGTGATGCCTCAATAAAAAACCTGCCAACTTAACCATCAGAGACAAAGTGAGAAATGATACTATCAGACTGATTGTGGAAACAACATCATACACCAAAGTAATTGAGAAACAGAAGATCAGATGGTTTGGTTATCTGGTTAGAATGCAGTCAGAACAACTACCAGTGCAGGTGCAACGCATGAAAACAATCTGATGTTTAAGCAAGAGGTCACCTAAGAAATTTGTGACATTAAAGAATTTCTTCATCACCACAGAATGACACAAGCCTTTGTGTCTGGGGAGGGGGGTTACAGTCCCATTCCCTCCCTCCCCCCACCACCCACTCCTCCCCCCCCCCCCCACCCTACCTTAGTTTTAGTATATAAAATGTGCCCCCCCCCCCCCCACTCCCCTTTCTGACCCCTTTTTTGTCATATCTTGAAAAGGTAGGTGGGTGTGCGCTTCTCAGTTACCAACTCTTCTGTCTTCAGCATCATCAAGTGCCTTGACAGCTGGCGTTCATGCATCTCCACAGATCTCGGTCTGTGGTGTTCTGGATCAATTCTGCTGATGATATTCCTCCATGTCACTGTCTTAAGCCGTCCACCATCATTTCTCTTGGTCTGCCTTTGACTCTTCTTCCAGTGATTTTTCCAGTTTTCACAATATTTTTCAGTACTCCTTTTCTTATCACATGACCAAAGAACTCAAGTTACCAACTACTTAAATATTTGTAGTCATTGTACCGTGCCGGGGGAAACAGCTGTTAAAAGTATAGCTAGACAGTCAGTCCTTTCCCTGGAAGTCACTTGATAAAGTTAATGCAAGGAGATCTAAAAACATGTAGAGAATAGGAGGCAAATGAATTTTGGAAGGGCATAAAATATGAATTTGAGTTAGTTGGCTTGAGGGGTGGGGTTAAAGGCAGAAGAAGTACTGTGTCACAGGAAAGATATCTATCAATAATCTTCTTCCCTTGCCAGGTATCGGCATGAGAATATTGTCCCACTGTATGGATACGCTGAAAATGCATCTGAGCTTTGTCTGGTGTATCAGTACATGGTGAATGGATCTCTTGAGGATAGACTGCTACATAAGGTGAGTCTAGGGCTTAACTCTTCCAGTCTCGGCTACGGGTTACATTAACTCTGCTTCTTCTTCTTCTTCTTCTTCTCCTCTTCCTCCTCTTCTTCTTATTCCTCTTCTTCATCATGTGAGTTCACCATTACCAAGGCAGTTGGGGTGCTGTGTTGTGGTTCACGCTTAGACTGTGTTATCTGTGCCCAGTACCTTCTAACTAGTCACTTATCGTGACATGCTTATTATAGCCATTGTATTTGTGTTTCCTGCGAGGACCATGTGGGTAGCACTTTATGTAATTGGGTTTTGTATAAAGATGTAAGCAAGTGGGACATGAATGATACAGGTATTGAGGTGGACTCAGAACATAATGCCATGGACCGTGCTGTATGGAGTGGGCACATCAGGAAGGGAATGAGACTGAAGTAAGAAATGATTGCAGAAACGGTCAGAGCTGAGCATCTGAAAAGAAACAGACTAAACACAAATGTTGACAACAATGTTCCTGAAATCCCATGCTATCATTGTGGGAGGCTATCCTTAATGTGGGCAAATCTTGCTAGTCACACTGGCCATCAGCATGGGCTATGAGTCCCATGTCTACTTATATAGCCCAGTATAACACTATGGTCTGGAAAGACAGAAAGGTGCCAAACAAAATTGTGTTGTTTATTATTGTTATTTTGTTTGATGTGTTGGACATAATATAACATTTCATATGAAATGTAGTTACTTCAGTGTCATTTCCTTTTTTTGTTTGTGTTTTTTGCTGTATGCTGATTCATCTTTTTGCTCTCCTCTTCCAACAGTCTTGCCACTTGACACTTTGAAGTAGAAAATTCCTTCTCATAACAATTTTAAGGCCCATTCTCTTTATAATCCAGTCTATATATAATCCAGTAACAATTTTAAAATTTGAAATCTCACCTTTTTTTATTTTAATTTATATTTCAGTTGGTGTATTAGAGTACATGAGAAAGGTGTATAATTAGAAAGTAGCCTACAATTCAATATAGCAAGTCCACTTTGGCTGAGTTTTGTATGTCCCAGACAGCTGTTAGTTTAATCCAGTGGTCTACAGCCTTTTTTCAGGCCGCTAACCCCTTGAGTATATGGCAAGGCCGCCACGCCTGACTTGGGAATATGGAAAGACCCCCACGCACCCCTTGAGAATATTGCAAGAACCTTACGCCTCCCTTCCTCTCCACACATAACAAAATGTGATTAAAATGAAGATAGTAGATTCCATAACAAGAGAAACATAAAGTATAAAGATATGTTTTGTCAGAATCTGTTCTTAATCTTTAATCAAATGCACCTTGTTTTCATGTTATTTATATTTTTTACAATAGATGTACAAACTGCTCCTGGAAAGAAACAGGTCCCTGTCATTTTGTTTAATAAATGGTTTACAAATAAATTTAATTTATAATTAAACTAATACACAATGTAAGTACTCGTATGACATGTACTCACTTTCAAAGTAGTTGAAACCTCCTCGCACACCTGGGCTGGAGCCCGCTGCTTGAATCCCTTCTTTCTCAAAAAGTTGAGCTCAAAATACTCTGCTCTGATCCAACTCAACAGAGACATGGGGCAGAAGAATTTAAGCTAATTATCTCATTTGTTTTTATTTTGTGTAGAATGACACACCATCACTTACCTGGGAGCGACGACTGAATATCTTGATTGGTTCTTGCAAAGGACTTAACTTTCTGCACACAATGGGAGACCCCCCTCTCATTCATGGTGACATTAAAAGGTAGATAGTGTTGCTTTTGTCATCATAAAATGAATTACCTGGCACTGTTTTATCAGACCTGTGGTTTAGCACGTCTGATTTTGACAAACATTTTTGTTTTCAGTGCTTTCTCTAACCGTTGTCTGTCCTCACCCTCACCGTACACGCAGGGAAGCTGGTTTGTATTCCTGTTCATCTGTTCTTATCCCTTGACCCATCAAACATGTAGGACCCTACCTGTAGCTGGGCCACATCAGCAAAGCTCTTGAGGTTCCTTGGAACTTACAAGCCCCTCTACCATACCAGGGTGGAGGCACAGCATGTCAGTGTTGGTTTTTATAGTGGTTGGTTATAGTGGTCAGCTTCTGTGGCTTAGGCATTGCCAACGCTCTTCGTAGTGCTGGGTTCAATCCCAGCTGCAGGCCTTGTGTTGGTTTTGACAGTGGTATTGAGGAAACCAGATCAAAACTATTGGTACAGTTGCCGCCATTCAGTTCATTGAGACACAAAGACTGCAATGGTTTGGATGTGAACTTGCCTTAAAAAAAACCACAACAGCTAAAAAATGCTTGGGTTGGTTCTGCAATGTCCTGTAAAGGATAGGCAACTAACTTTTCAAACTACTGGGTGTGAATTTGCCTAGAAAAACCACAACAGCTAAAAAATGCTGGGGATGGTTCTGCAATGTCCTGTAAAGGATAGGCAACTAACTTTTCAAACTACTGGGTGTGAATTTGCCTAGAAAAATCACAACAGCTAAAAAACGCTTGGGTTGGTTCTGCAATGTCCTGTAAAGGATAGGCAACTAACTTTTCAAACTACTGGGTGTAAATTTGCCTAGAAAAACCACAACAGCTAAAAAATGCTTGGGTTGGTTCTGCAATGTCCTGTAAAGAATAGGCAACTAACTTTTCAAACTACTGGGTGTAAATTTGCCTAGAAAAACCACAACAGCTAAAAAAAAATGAATGCTGGGGTTGGTTCTGCAACGTCCTTTAAAGGATACGCAACTAACTTTGGTTAAACAAAAAAGAGTGTTTTGGCAGATAACTTAACCTGTTTACTGGAGCCCGTAAGAAAAGCAAAGAAAAGCATCATTGTAAATTACCATGCATGCTGTGAGAGGTTTCTTTGGTCGGGATGTAAAACTACCTAAACCATCCCATAGAAAAGTTTAACTGCACAATCCTGAACAATCAACAAAATGCTTGCATGAGTTGCTGGAGAATCTGCTTCACTGGGAAATAAAAAACAGAAGATGAAAGAATGTCAGCTAATGCAAATGCACAAAACACAGGTCAGTTTACAGAATTACAATTGTGATAAGCACAAGGCCAATATTGTAGCCACAAGCTGTCATCAGTAGACAAAAGCAAACACCACAACACAAGAAATTATGCTGAAGTTACTAATTTAGGGATTATAGTTGTATGCAAGCAAGTGATACGAAAATTAGAATTCAGAATTATAATTAGACAGTATTTTATCAACTCAACCACTCCAAATGTTGCAGGAATAAACACCAGATATTAGTTGCCTTTTATAGGCCCCCTGAGATGTTAATGGGGGAAATGCACATCAACATGGGTCAGGACTGTTTGCTTGTGGTTTTGTTACGTCAGAGAAATAGGAGAGAAACTTAAATTCAGTCCAGGGATAACAAACACTCTTTACTACCTCTCAGCCGGAGGAGGCTTGGCCGGGGCAAATAGATTGCCATTTTCTTTGGAGTCAGAATGCCAATGCCTGAACGACAAGGAACCAACAGTCTGCACACAAATAAGCCAGATCTGTAAAATATAATTACAACTTTTAGGCGGTGTGGATAATAGCATGTGGATGTTACCACAGTCCCTAGTATATCTGATTGTTAATCAATGGGTCATGGTGCCAAAAACAAAAGGTCACAGAATGATGCTGGGTACAATGTAGCAAAATATACCAGGCAATAAATTGTGCAGTCTGTTATTTATTTCAGTTTTCAACAAGGATATGCTTTGTTTCAGTAACATCAATACAGTTTGCATTTCCTGTTGATCTTTCTGCAGCGCAAACATTCTTCTTGATCAGTATTTGGAGGCCAAGCTGGGAGACTTTGGTCAGGCCAAGTATGCAACCAGGAGCAGCAGTACAGACACAACTGGCTTCACACACATCACTGTTGCGGAGACCACCACCAGGTTGTTTGGCACCAAGGCTTACCTGGCTCCAGAGCTGATCAGCAATGGCACCCAGTCTGTGAAGTCAGATATTTATGCTTTTGGAGTGGTAGGTTGCACTGTTTTTCTTCTGACTGATTGACCAGCTGACTGTTTGTTTGATTGGTTAACTTTGGCCAACATACATTGTAGTATACTAGAAACATGTCTCTGTATGTATTCTAGGGCTCCATATTTGCAGGAGAAATGAATAGAAAACCCGCCTCTGTTTCCCCTCACTACCACCACAAGCATGTCGTAACAGGTGAATAATTAAGGGTGTAAATGGCATGGTGTTTGTGTCAAAGTCAGGGTGCATCTGCCTGACAGGTGAGTAAATGGCAGGGTGTTTGTTTCAAAGTCAGGGTGCATCTGCCTGACAGGTGAGTAAATGACAGGGTGTTTGTTTCAAAGTCAGGGTGCATCTGCCTGTCAGGTGAGTAAATGGCAGGCTGCATATTAATAAGCCAGATCTGTAAAAAGGATGTCTATGCAAAACTCAACTTCTGGCACAAGACCAAAGTCCAGAAGACAACCAGAACTTTCCGCTGGCGTTTATAGCTTGGAAACGATAAGCAAAAGACTAGAACAAGTGTAACATTACAGCCTGATGTGTTAGTGACCTCATTATCATCACCTCATTATTATCATCATGTCTCATTCTTATAAGTGTCAGTTTTCTTCTCACTGTTTGACTAGTTGATTGACATATTAACTTTGGCCAGCATCCTTGATATTGTTGGTACCTTTCCATCTTTCTAGACAGTAGTGTTATATTTTAACATAGAGATTCATGGAATCACAGCCACTTAAGGCCAGGGCTGTTTGTTCTTCCATTTCATTGCACAAAGCCTGGGCAGTATTGTAGAGACCTTTTGTTGCCCATGCAGCATGATCCCTCTCAACAAAGCGTGATGCTGGATCAGAAGATTAATGCTCTGTCTGTCTGACAACACTTCCTTTCTTGACCAGCGGGCAGCCAAGGCTAAGGGTCTGGTCTGCCCTGACAAATCATTCAGTTTCAGGTTGCATTTCCTCTTTCTAGGATAAGGCTTGTGTCCTCTCCAAAGAGCTGCTTTGCCTGAAGCCGTTCACACCATATAAGATGTCAGGTTTGGTATAGGTTAACTAATGTTCAGTGTTAACAGAGAACAGGTATTAGTGACTGCTGTTGTGTGTTAGATCTAATATAAGATAACAGTCTGATGTCATGGTTTGCCATCCCACGTGTTTACAAGAATCATAGATCAAGTCTTTTTGTCCCACCACATGTACATTGTTTATCCACAATTTTCCTTCTTAAAACATTGCCTACAGAAGTTTGAATTGTATAATCATATGCTTGATTGTGAATCTAAATTATTATATGAGTGCATAGAGTGTTTTTAACAAGTTTGATGAACTAGTTACTCTACTTATTAACTCCATAGATTTTTATGGAAGTCTGCAGTGGCTTAAAGGCCTATGACCAGAGCAGAAATGTTGGCACATTTTTGGTAAGAATTTCTTTTTATTTATTTTCAGTCAAGACCAAAACTTGTGTCTCAGCCGTTATTTTAATTGAGCTTTGCAAACAGTCATCAGATATTTTGTTATATCCAATTTGTTGATTTCCATGTTTTTATAATGCTTGCTCTTCATCTCTTATACAAGTTGCTACAGACTGAATTGTCTGATAGATGTTCAATCTAATTACTAGTAAACACAATTTCAATAATGTGGTCACAAACAATATATTGCACAATTTATTGCCAGGCATATTTGTTGTATCTTGTCAGATGTGATACTACAGTTATATCGACATAAAATGAAGCACAAAAAACTGAATAAATTCAACTGAAATGCGAATGGTTTCTTTCGTTGCATCGTGTTTGTCTAGTCATCAGAAATTCACTGTAGTCATGTGACTTAACATGGTAAAACAATGACTAATTCACTTGTATATCTTCCTAATTGTTCAGAGAGTGATATCGCTGCGAGATTTGTGTCTTTCGGCCTCACAGACTCGCGTGCAGGCAGACGCACACGCAAGTCACTCCTGTTCTTTTTAGGGGGGTGAGAAATCTGAGCACCCAATCACACATTGCACAAGTTATAATTCTCTTGGAAGTTGAATATTGTAAAGGGTAGGCCATATATCATAAAGAATAGGCCATATATCATAAAGAATAGGCCATATATCATAAAGAATAGGACAATATTGTAAAATGTAGGACACAAAAAAGTGAGACACTGTTCTGGTCAAAATTGCACAATAATATCTTCAAAGAACAGAATTTTTGTAGAATGTGTGAATTCTGATACCTTTTTTTTTTTTTTATGTTTATTACCTCACCACTTGTATTGAATTTGTGCATTGAGTTGAAAACATCCTACAGTGATCTGAACAAGAAGATTAAAACACTAATGGTTAGCTGCAGAGTGCAGGAAAGAATATTAAAGATTCCTTTTCTTGCCATTAGGCATGTAGAGCTAGATATATATTTTATGGACCAATTTGTACTCGATAGCTGATGGAGTCAACAGTGTGCCGCCTGTTTTTACTTCCCAGGGCTCTACCTAATATTCATTTAGGCTGGGTTGACCTGGAAGCCAAAGTCATTTTTTTTTTAAATCTAGCTTGATCCAGATTTGAACTTACAACCTTTGGGCCTAAAGCGAGCGCCTAGCCGCTACACAGTGGAGGCTGCCTCGGTAAAGATTATCTGTGAATTAATTGGAATACAAATGGGTGGATAATAAAATATTGGATACCTAATGACGAGAAACAGAGAAAGTCACTAAAGAGTCACTGAAATGGGAAATAAAGGAATTGGAGAAATGAGGATGTCTACCAGAGCTGTTAAGGAAACATTGACAGGAGAGGTCAAAGCTGCTGGACTGATGATTTCAACAACAACAACAACAACAAAATATTGCACAGGATGGAGTTGAGGGAAGAAATAGACTGCTCACTTTGTGTGATGTTGAAATGGTGCAGCAGGATGATTGTGATCAGTCAGAGTTATAAATCCATGAACATATTTATGAACAAACACAGGTAGACTACTTCCGAAATGAGGTTGCAGACAAAGAAGAAAGTTTGTGGAAGGAACATTTCCAGGACAGAACTTTGCTTGATGTGTCTCATGACATCTTCATTCTTGTGTTGAAGCTTGCTTTAAAATGTGTGAACACAGCCAAGAAAGCTAGGCCTGACACCAAAAAGGTTAGTGCATGTTGTTTGTTTCATCCAAGAGTTTATTTATTTGTTTAGGTTGCTCTTTTGAATTTATAAAAATCAGTAAATGTACCAGATTTTGAGTTGGGGAGCATATTTACATACAATAGTAGACTAGACAGAGGGAAACAAGAATCGGACAAGCCAACACCGTTACATGTCAACTGACCCCAGTCTTGCCATAGCTGGCTATTCTGACAAGCCAACACCGTTACATGTCAACTGACCCCAGTCTTGCCATAGATGGCTATTCCAACAAGCCAACACCGTTACATGTCAACTGACCCCAGTCTTGCCATAGCTGGCTTTTCCGACAACCCAACACCGTTACATGTCAACTGACCCCAGTCTTGCCATAGCTGGCTATTCCGACAAGCCTACACCGTTACATGTCAACTGACCCCAGTCTTGCCATAGCTGGCTATTCCGACAAGCCAACACCGTTACATGTCAACTGACCCCAGTCTTGCCATAGCTGGCTATTCCGACAGAGATTAAAAGACAGCTTATAAATGCAGTCTTATTGCAACTCTGAGTTACCAGTGTCAGATTTGGTCGTTAACTAGAGAATATGAGAGAAAACACACTACCAAGTGAAGTGAGGTATTTGAGAGAGGCTGTTAAAAAAAAACTGGATCATATGAGAAATCAAGAGGTTAGAAAAACTACTGGTACAGTACCCATCATTCAGTTCATTAATAAACAAAGACTGAAATGGTTTGGCTACCTAATAAGAATGAACCCAACAGTGCTGGAAACTAGTGCGCACAACATGAAAATGAAAACACAAAGAGGGAGATAAGAAGATGGATTGAAGGAGTGACTGACAACCTTAGACATCACAGCATAGTGAGCAACGACCTTGCCCTGGCCTGGCTGCTGAACTGACACACTTAACATAAAGCAGATGCCGACAAAAGAAGAAAGTGAATTTAGTTATTCACACCTGCATATTCTGGAGCAAAAGGTAATGAATGAGCAAACCAAATGGCAAGTATTGCATATTTTTTCTTCAGGAAGAAACTTGATATAATCGGTGCTGTACTGACCGGGCTGGTGGATATTGACTGATCTCTGACACCAACCTGATTATATGACTTGAAAGTAAAGTCAGGTGAAGCTCGTCTGTTCTGTCTTCGAGATCAGGATAGGGATGTATTACTACCAGCCTCTTCGGGAAAAAGTCATGGATACCTTGGGATGCCTCCTGCATCGGAGGACTGAGCACACGTTGTATTGCCTAAAAAGTTTAGTTGTCAAGCCTGTGGCTTCAAAGTTCCAATCAATTTATGCACACTATGCTCAGAGGAAAGGCAAGGCGGACATACAACCAAAGTTAACATTTTGAGAGCATGTATCTTTGCTGTAGCAACATACCGATATGAGTCGGGGGGGGGGGGGGGGGGGGGGGGCACGCCCATGGGGTGTGGGGGTCAAGCAATTTTGCAAGTTAGTTTAGTGCATGAGTACTTAATGTACTTGTAATAATCCATTATACTAACATTTTATTTTAAGTTTAATTATAAATGAAATATTTTTTTTTAACTATTTATTAAACAAAATGACAGGACATTTTTGTTTTCAGGAGCAGTTTGTACATCTACCATTAAAAATATGATTATTATGATACCAAGCTAGTTATAGATGTTTCTCTTGTTAAAGAATCTATTGTTCTCCTCTTTTTAATTACAATTTGTTATGTTACAAAAGGGAGGGGGCTTAGACGCCTTGCCATATACTTTGGAGAGAAGGGTGCAAGACCTGAAAAAGTTTGAAGACCACTGTGCTACATGATGATGATGGTCAATATAAAAACATTATAGTGTTCTTTATCTTGACTGTTTCAGTGATGGGGTCCATGACAGACCTTCAGAAGATAAGAGGGGTTCCAGGAGCTTAGCAAATTGAGAACCTGTGGCATAGATCATTATGAAATAAGAGGGGTTCCCGGAGCTTAGCTAATTGAGAACCTGTATCATAGATCATTATGAAATAAGAGGGGTTTCAGGGGCTTAGCTAATTGAGAACCTGTGGCATAGATCATTATGAAATAAGAGGGGTTCCCGGGGCTTAGCTAATTGAGAACCTGTGGCATAGATCATTATGAAATAAGAGGGGTTCCCGGGGCTTAGCTAATTGAGAACCTGTATCATAGATCATTATGAAATAAGAGGGGTTCCCGGGGCTTAGCTGATTGAGAACCTGTGGCATAGATCATTATGAAATAAAGAGGGGTTCCCGGAGCTTAGCTAATTGAGAACCTGTGGCATAGATCATAATGAAATAAGAGGGGTTTCATGGGCTTAGCTGATTGAGAACCTGTATCATAGATCATTATGAAATGAGGGGTTCCCGGGGCTTAGCTGATTGAGAACCTGTGGCATAGATCATTATGAAATAAGAGGGGTTCCCGGGGCTTAGCTAATTGAGAACCTGTGGCATAGATCATTATGAAATAAGAGGGGTTTCATGGGCTTAGCTAATTGAGAACCTGTATCATAGATCATTATGAAATAAGAGGGGTTCCCGGGGCTTAGCTGATTGAGAACCTGTATCATAGATCAATATGAAATAAGAGGGGTTTCGGGGGCTTAGCTAATTGAGAACCTGTGGCATAGATCATTATGAAATAAGAGGGGTTCCCGGGGCTTAGCTAATTGAGAACCTGTGGCATAGATCATTATGAAATAAGAGGGGTTTCAGGGGCTTAGCTAATTGAGAACCTGTGGCATAGATCATTATGAAATAAGAGGGGTTCCCGGGGCTTAGCTAATTGAGAACCTGTATCATAGATCATTATGAAATAAGAGGGGTTCCCGGGGCTTAGCTGATTGAGAACCTGTGGCATAGATCATTATGAAATAAGAGGGGTTCCCGGGGCTTAGCTGATTGAGAACCTGTGGCATAGATCATTATGAAATAAGAGGGGTTCCCGGGGCTTAGCTAATTGAGAACCTGTGGCATAGATCATTATGAAATAAGAGGGGTTTCATGGGCTTAGCTAATTGAGAACCTGTATCATAGATCATTATGAAATAAGAGGGGTTTCAGGGGCTTAGCTAATTGAGAACCTGTATCATAGATCATTATGAAATAAGAGGGGTTTCATGGGCTTAGCTAATTGAGAACCTGTATCATAGATCATTATGAAATAAGAGGGGTTCCCGGGTCTTAGCTGATTGAGAACCTGTCCCATAGATCATTATGAAATATGAGGGGTTCCGAGGGCTTAGCTAATTGAGAACCTGTGGCATAGATCATTATGAAATAAGAGGGGTTCCCAGGGTTTAGCTAATTGAGAACCTGTGGCATAGATCATTATGAAATTAGAGGGGTTTCGGGGGCTTAGCTAATTGAGAACCTGTATCATAGATCATTATGAAATAAGAGGGGTTCCCAGAGCTTAACTAATTGAGAACCTGTATCATAGATCATTATGAAATAAGAGGGGTTTCGGAGCTTAGCTAATTGAGAACCTGTAGCATAGATCATTATGAAATAAGAGGGGTTTCATGGGCTTAGCTAATTGAGAACCTGTGGCATAGATCATTATGAAATAAGAGGGGTTCCCGGGGCTTAGCTAATTGAGAACCTGTGGCATAGATCATTATGAAATAAGAGGGGTTTCAGGGGCTTAGCTAATTGAGAACCTGTGGCATAGATCATTATGAAATAAGAGGGGTTCCCGGGGCTTAGCTAATTGAGAACCTGTGGCATAGATCATTATGAAATAAGAGGGGTTTCATGGGCTTAGCTAATTGAGAACCTGTATCATAGATCATTATGAAATAAGAGGGGTTTCAGGGGCTTAGCTTATTGAGAACCTGTATCATAGATCATTATGAAATAAGAGGGGTTTCATGGGCTTAGCTAATTGAGAACCTGTATCATAGATCATTATGAAATAAGAGGGGTTCCCGGGTCTTAGCTGATTGAGAACCTGTGGCATAGATCATTATGAAATAAGAGGGGTTCCCGGGGCTTAGCTAATTGAGAACCTGTGGCATAGATCATTATGAAATATGAGGGGTTCCGAGGGCTTAGCTAATTGAGAACCTGTGGCATAGATCATTATGAAATAAGAGGGGTTCCCAGGGTTTAGCTAATTGAGAACCTGTGGCATAGATCATTATGAAATAAGAGGGGTTTCGGGAGCTTAGCTAATTGAGAACCTGTGGCATAGATCATTATGAAATAAGAGGGGTTTCGGGGGCTTAGCTAATTGAGAACCTGTATCATAGATCATTATGAAATAAGAGGGGTTCCCAGAGCTTAACTAATTGAGAACCTGTATCATAGATCATTATGAAATAAGAGGGGTTTCATGGGCTTAGCTAATTGAGAACCTGTATCATAGATCATTATGAAATAAGAGGGGTTTCAGGGGCTTAGCTAATTGAGAACCTGTATCATAGATCATTATGAAATAAGAGTAGTTTCATGGGCTTAGCTAATTGAGAACCTGTATCATAGATCATTATGAAATAAGAGGGGTTCCCGGGTCTTAGCTGATTGAGAACCTGTGGCATAGATCATTATGAAATAAGAGGGGTTCCCGGGGCTTAGCTAATTGAGAGCCTGTGGCATAGATCATTATGAAATATGAGGGGTTCCGAGGGCTTAGCTAATTGAGAACCTGTGGCATAGATCATTATGAAATAAGAGGGGTTCCCAGGGTTTAGCTAATTGAGAACCTGTGGCATAGATCATTATGAAATAAGAGGGGTTTCGGGAGCTTAGCTAATTGAGAACCTGTGGCATAGATCATTATGAAATAAGAGGGGTTTCGGGGGCTTAGCTAATTGAGAACCTGTATCATAGATCATTATGAAATAAGAGGGGTTCCCAGAGCTTAACTAATTGAGAACCTGTATCATAGATCATTATGAAATAAGAGGGGTTTCGGAGCTTAGCTAATTGAGAACCTGTCGCATAGATCATTATGAAATAAGAGGGGTTTCATGGGCTTAGCTAATTGAGAACCTGTCGCATAGATTATTATGAAATAAGAGGGGTTCCCGGGGCTTAGCTGATTGAGAACCTGTGGCATAGATCATTATGAAATAAGAGGGGTTCCCGGGGCTTAGCTAATTGAGAACCTGTGGCATAGATCATTATGAAATATGAGGGGTTCCGAGGGCTTAGCTAATTGAGAACCTGTGGCATAGATCATTATGAAATAAGAGGGGTTCCCAGGGTTTAGCTAATTGAGAACCTGTGGCATAGATCATTATGAAATAAGAGGGGTTTCGGGGGCTTAGCTTATTGAGAATCTGTGGCATAGATCATTATGAAATTTAAAAAGGAGATATATATACCTGGATGGAGCATAAACAAGAGAAGAACACAAGATCTAAACTAAAACTGGTCACCATGTCAGATGATAAATCATGAGCAGTCACGCTTGTCAGCATGACACATGGTGATGATTTGATTCAGTCCTTGTAAGCAAGCAACACAATCAGAGCTGGATACCTGGTGTATGACATATGTCTGAACACTGCTGCCTTCACTTTCACAGTAAAACAGCTACATCAAAGATAGGTCAGCATCTGTGTGGTAGAACAGTTACTAGGTTTGTTGGAAAGGGGAGAAACAAATAGAAGTACCTGGACAACCACGCGTGTCAGCAGTGATATGACGAAGAAGATGCTGCTGCTGTTGGGTGTATCATGCAGAGAAGCGAACAAAGTCATTATAAAAGAGGCACTGAAATAGAGAATAGACTGGGTGAATGGGGTGTCCAAGAGAAACCCTCAAACAGGCATTGACAAGAGAGGTCCAAGGTGCTGGACTGTGTCCATCCATGGCATCGAAAGAATTGCACATTTAGAGCAGGCTGGAGAACTAGACTGTGAGCCCTGTGCCACGTATAATTGAACAGCAGGATGATGATGTTGACAGCCTATGACTGTTAACTCTGCTACCATCTGTCCCAGGGGTTTATCTACCTTGTATCTTTACTGGCTGCATACTTTCATTTTATGATGTCTGTATTTTCAACAGCTTCTGGGTGAATTGAAACTTTTGTACATCAAGAATCAAGAAAGAAATGGAGGTTAGTTCTTTTCTTTTTTTTCAAGTTTTTACAACAATCAGTATGTCTATTTATTTTTGAAAATTATTATTTTATTTTAAATTGTTTTATTCTGAGGTGGGTTTTTTTTCAATAGAAGGACCCCCCCCCCCCCCCCCCCCCCCCCCTTTCCCAAACTTAGAATTGTGGCATTTTATTGTACCATATTGTTGGATTATACCAGTATATATTTTGTCTGTCCCTATTAGTTTTTGTCACTAGGTTCTTTCAAAGAGTAATCACATTTGGGGATTTATATATCCAATTGTTTATCTATAAACTATTCTTTGTGCATGTTGTGTAAAGGGGACATTTGAGAATGTGACAGCTAGAAAACCTTTTTTTTTTAAGTAAAGAAGCTTACATACACGTAACATACTCATTTCCTAAAGACATATATTACCTGACCCATAGTTTTATAGACCACACTCTACTGGGAATTTTGTTCATATGATCCCTGAGCCCACAAAATGAGGAGAAAGAGATAGATATGGCTTGGTCAAATGATGAGAAAAACTGAAATTTGATCCAGTATTGGTATTAGTGATAAAACTGAGGCTTCTTTAACTTTGCTGATGACCGCTGCTTGCCTTGTTTTCCATTCCATATCTCTAATAAGATTTATGTTATATAGAATAAATCTTGATCAAATCTTCTTATATTTTATTATATATGAGAAATGGAGCTTGTTACTACTCAGCATACTAGAGTATATGTCCTAGAGTATATGTCCTAGAATATATAGAAGCCTAAAACTTTTTACTGTTACTTCAGTATCTGCCAGGGGATTAACCTTTACTTTTAAATTGTATGCCCACTTACCTCGCTGTCAGATTTACATTTGATGTGATGTCTCTTTAGATTGATATTTTTGTGCAATACATTTAGATAGATTTATGTTAGTGGCCGTGGATCAAAACAGGTGATGGTCATTAAGAAGAGGTGAGTTAGTTGGTGATGCGCTTAACTCTGTAAAATACCTCAAAACTCTACGACATGGCCATCGGCAGATAAGAGGCGCCATAACCTCTCCCCCCTGCTGCCTTGCAGGGCAAGTCTCTTAAGGCAAAGGCTTTTGAATTAAAAGCATTTACAAACCGGCGGAATGCAAGGGGAAACCACCGCTGTATTATCCCTAGAAAATCATGCATAAAAATCTAATGGTAGACCACTGGAAAGATCTGTGGAAGGAGGGATAGAGGAAGACAACGAGAGAAGATTCTTGACAGTCTTGTTGCATGGCATGGAGGTGTGTCAGCCCATGAACTGATACATGCTGCAGGAGATCGCGGATTGTGGAGAGGCATGATCACCCATGCTAGTCAGCAAGGCACCTGATAATGGTGTACACTATCTTAAGTGTATATTTATGTGCAGTGTCTTTAGATTGATTTTTAATTGCAGTATTGTTAGATTGATGTATGTAAACATTATATTTAGATTATCATTTATGTATAGTATATTTAAATTAGTATTTACATGCCATGTCTCTGCATATATAAGTATGTGCACTCTTTGAGATTGATATTTATGTGCAATTGCAGTATTGTCTAGATTGATGATGTATGTAAACATTATATTTAGATCTCTTTGATCATTTATGTGGTATAGTATATTTAAATTAGTATTTACATGCCATGTCTCTGCATATATAAGTATGTGCACTCTTTGAGATTGATATTTATGTGCACTCTTTGAGATTGATATTTATGTGCAATCTTTGAGATTGATATTTATGTGCACTCTTTGAGATTGATATTTATGTGCACTCTTTGAGATTGATATTTATGTGCACTCTTTGATATTTATGTGCACTCTTTGAGATTGATATTTATGTGCAATCTTTGAGATTGATATTTATGTGCACTCTTTGAGATTGATATTTATGTGCAATCTTTGAGATTGATATTTATGTGCAATCTCTTTGAGATTGATATTTATGTGCAATCTTTGAGATTGATATTTATGTGCAATCTTTGAGATTGATATTTATGTGCAATCTCTTTGAGATTGATATTTATGTGCAATCTCTTTGGCAGATGATGAAACCTGTAGCAGCATCTCAACTTCTCTTCAAATAGATTCTCGTCTCACAAACAGCTCACGTTTCCTGACAAGCAACATGGAGAGTCAGCTTGAAGACCCATCTGCTCCTCATGTGTCTGCACCCGATCAGCACATGTACATACGACAACAGCTGCTCAATTATGAACCTGCATCACAAAAACTGCCTGATCAGCCCAGACCTCCTGTAAAAGAACCGCTAGTACAGAAGCAGATAGATGCGGCTGCTTGCTCAATAAATCATTCACAAACTACAGTGGATCTGAGAGATCATTCAAGTGCAGACAACCCATCCAAGAGTTTTCCACCAAGTGTACCACTGTCTGTGCCCTTGTTATTGCAGGAGGCCTATGACAGGCAACAAGGGAGAGAAATCATTGATAGATTATCTGGAGTGTTCAAGAAGGAAGAGGAACGGGAAGTGGAAGAATACCCTTCTGATCCTAAGAAGTTGCAGAAAATTGATTATTTTGACATGGGGCAGCAGAATAATATGCCCTCCAATTGCAGCGTCTTCCAGAAAGGCAATCCAGAACCTGATGGTTTTCCGAAAGCTGATCCGAAAAAACTGGCCCAGCTGATGGCTTTTGAAGAAGCTAATTTTGGGACAGGTGATCATTCAGCGAGTGAACCCCACCTGTTTGAATTGTGACCCACATAAGCTTGCCTGCTTGCTGCAGTTTGATGATAATGTATATAAACTGTCAGCAGAGAACAAGTGTGACACAGACACACAGCAGCCAACAGTAGCAGAATCAAGGCAAGCACTCGGCAGTCAGAAAGATGATTTCATGAAGAGATTTCATTTATTTGATTTGCAGGATGGGTTTCATGCTAGCAACACTGCGAATGCACCTGCCTATGTGCCTGAAAATGGATGGCAGAATAATGGCAGCAACGTTGGTAATGGGTGGTCAGGAGATCAAGGTGAAGTTGCTGGACCGGCAGTCAGTGTTGACAAGCAGATGAAACTAAAAATGAGAACATTGTTTGATATGTATAATGAGTTACAAAATGCTGATGATGATGGTTGTAACAATGAAGAGGAGGAGGAAGCTAACAGTTAAACCAGTGCACAAAATGTCAGTGTTCCGGTTTATTGTCAGTTGTCTGATTTCCACTCCTGAATACAGTTGTTGCAGATTTTATTGTGCCTTGAACAACATCAGTATTGCTGTGAACCAAACATGTCATGCTTTAATAGTAGCTGTAGTAGTATTGTAGTGAAACATTCCATTGGGCCAATAAATGATGCAGAGAATAGGAATTCTAACCTACAAAGCATGCTGTAGGAGGCAAAGGTTGAATTAAGAATTAACACCATAGCACTCGGGACACTCCCATAAGCACTCCATCACCATCTCCAGCAGCAAACGAAGAGTTCTATTTCTGATGGTCCCAGTATCTCTGATTGTACATCCGACTGGTTTTTCCCCTAGAGTGTTGAGCATCAGCCAGATTCCTTGGTAACTCCTCGCAGCGCCATTCTCCCCAGACCATAATGATCTATTTGTGCCACCGCACTGTTCACTGGCTCCCAAAAGGCCCTCACAGCATCTGGTTTGTCATACATCAATTCACCACCAACAGGTACAGAACCAGTCAGTCTATCTGCCTGCTCATTTCCCAATACACTCTAGCGTAACCTGGAGAAAATATTCAAAGGACACTCACTACCAGGGACCTTTGAAGTGATGCTTGCCACTCTGCACAGAGCCTCACTGTGTAGAGAGAGAGAAACTCTGTAAGCAGCAACTAAGGAAGGTTTACATGAAACTGGGTAATCTCCTCCTGTTAAACATTTTTAACTGCAATATCCAATTATTCATTAAGAATTCTACAAGAAATAGAATTATGTTGGTTGAGAAGAGTTGTCCAACTGCTGCGTATCTGGTTATCTCCATAGGGTTCTTTGTCATGTTTTTTAGAATGTGCCAAATTAGGGAAAGACAGTAAATAGAGCTAGCAAAAGGCCCTTTTCACATCAATCTTGAATCAGACATATAATGCTAGGCTCATGTTTGTTGTGTACACCAATCAGCACTCAATGGATGATGTGGCTGCCTTTGCTTCACTGGACATTCCCTGGTATCAGTGTTAGACTGGGTCGACCTAGGAACCAATTCATTTTTTAGGATAAAAACTGACTCGATGCAGATTTCTTCTTTTTCTTCTTCTTGTTCACCGGCTGTAAAACTCTAGCCGAATAATCTGGTTGTTTGTCCACTTCTGGACTTTAGTCTTGTTCCAAAACCTGAGTATTGCATGCACATGTGTTTTACACATCTGACATTTTTTTGTATGCAGACTGTTGGTTCCTTGCCTCTCAGTCAGATGCACCTGACTTGGAAGGAAGCACCCAGTTAGTCGACTCTTCCGATATGCTTGTTGGGGAGACAGTGGGTCTATTCTTTTTTCCCCCACAAAGGGGCCCTGGAACCCACATGGAAAGATGCAGATTTGAACCCATGACTTTCAGGCAAGCGTTTTAGCCAATATGCCACAATCGGCCTCGGTCACAGTCAGCATTGAAACTCTTCTGTGACTACAAAGCAGAGAATGAAACCATGTTAGAATATTCCACAGTCTGTGATGTCCATGTGTGGATGTATAAGGAAAGTTGTTAGGCATTTCATAATAATAATTTTAGGTTGATAACAAACCCATGAATGATAATGGATGAGCACATTTGTGTTTTCATTGACCCGGGCTGTAAAGTGTGACTGTCTGCATGACAAACAAGTGCTGATTGGTCTATACAAATATGTGTAGCATAATATACCCAGTGTGTTGCAGGTGTAACAAGGGTTCTGTTGACTAACCATCTTGGAAAAGAACTGTTGACATTTACTTTGTCACAGCTGCACGAAGTAGGGTGATAAGTTGGCTTTTGTTCTACCAGTTTTGTCTTAAGCCAAGAGAAATGTTGGATGTTTAGTTAATGACCTGGCATGGCAGAGGGGTTTCACAGCCTGATCTCTAACTGGTTGCAATCTTCAGAAAAGTTAGTTCTTCAAATGGCTAAATAGATGTCACAACATTTAGTTAGAAAATTTGCGTCATGATTATTTGAGGTGATTAGTTATATTTTTTTTTATTATCTAGATCTTTTGTTTTGTTTCTGCCACTAGTGAATAAATCATCATCATCATCATCATCAGGTTGCTTGCCAACGGGCGTGATCATACCTCTCCACAATCCTGTAGCATGTATCAGTTCGTTTGCCGACACACCTCCATACCATGTAACAAGACTGTCAAGAATCTTTTCTCGCTGTCTTCCTCTATCCTTCCTTCCACAGATCTTTTCAGTGGTCACAACATGTTCTATTTTCACTCTTCTCATAACATCTCATAATCACAAATTAGTTGCCTTTTACTTGTTAGAGGACTGTGGGTCTACCCCCACACATTTGTTAGAGGACGGTGGGTCACCCCCACACACTTGTTAGAGGATGGTGGGTCTACCCACACAAACCTTTTAGATAACAGTGGGTCTACCCGGACACACTAACATGGGATCCCGACACCAACAGGGAGAAGGTATTGCTATCTATTACCGGTTGAAATATAAAGCTAAACATCAAAGTTCAAAATACTGAACATGTGCCAGATTCATGGTTTTGTTTTTCTTCCTATGTTTTTCTGATGCATAATTCATTTATGTGTATGTGTGTCGGACATAATTGTTATGCCTGCTTATAGCAGGACTGCAATATATTTGTCATTCTACCTACATATGTTACTATTTCCTGGTATTCCATGTTATGAGCATTTCGTATGTGTTCCTTTTTGCTGGATCACCTGTATGTTAACAGGAGCCTTGGAGGAAACAAAGAACTTTAACACATGTAACCTGCAGAACATATCACAAGAAGCCACTAAAGTGGGTTACTAGTGACTTCTCCTGTCTCCCGTGATGGTGTACTCAACTTAAAAAAACCAGTCAACTATAAACATTTTGTGCCTTCTCTACAATGGATGTTGTGCAGTGGATATGTGCATCCACTTTGTCTTTGGGTACATTGTGTGCTGAGGCCCCAATCTCTTTCTTGGTGCAATTCTGGATCCACCATCCAAAATGTAAATAAGTAAGTTTTATCCCACCAGGACATCACACTGAGCGATAAACACCCGGTGACACAAAGTACCACCGTTCAGATGAGGATAACCCGTGGAGAGGTACCGGAAACCCCGTTCAACCATTGCGTTATATTAGGGCCACCTTTAACATCAATGGTGTTGCTTCAAAATAACGAAAAATTGCATCCCACATGGGGACGATGAGAATATAAATACCATCCAGAAGCCACAAGACTGGTCTTTATAGACGAGATTCACAGCCTAGCCATTCAGAGTGCCTCCGTTACAAAGCATGAAGGCTAACCATGTGATCTTTTGGACAGGATCAGGGCTGATTCATTCTTCTCCTGTATTCTTGACAAACTCAGCAGCTGCTTGAGGCCAAGTACCTTTGTGGGTACATCAGTGTCTCAGTCGGAGAGATTTATAACTATTGAGGTTAATCCAGTTCTTGTGATGTTCCAGTGAGCTTTACCAAGTCAGTATCGTTGGAGATTAACCTGTTGGGAGAAACTTATATATATTTTGGGCGTAGACTCTAAAAGTGGAGGTCTTTTGATAATACACTTGCTCATCAAAGAAGACAAGAAAAACTGAGATGAGTTGCTGGCATTTGCTGATTGTTGACCATGGAACTCCATGTATTATTGTCACTATAATTGGACCAATTATTTAACCCTTTGACTTATTCTAGTGAACAGTCCTGATGAAATAACTTTTCGCGGTTTAACTCTTTGACTTATTCTACTGAGCAATCCTGATGAAATAACTCTTCACGGTTTAACTCTGACTTATTCTAGTTAACAGACCTGATGAAATAACTCTTCACGGTTTAACTCTTTGACTTATTCTACTGAGCAATCCTGATGAAATAACTCTTCACGGATGCTAGTTTGCATCACTTGCAAAATTTTCTTGTAAAATGAAACAAAATGAAGAAGAAAAAAACAAGCAGGCCTGGCCCGTATTCTAAGACATACCATTTTACTAATCTCATTAGCCTGAACAGGAGACCTTTCAGTGTCTAAGCAGTGGAACTTGTTGATAGAACAGCATTTGCATTCCGGGTGCCAGCTTCTATCTCTTTCAAGTGCAGTGATAAGAATAGCGCTGCCAGGAGTTACCAGGGAATCTGGATGACACTCATGGAAGGGGCAAGACGGATATACAATCAGACAGTTACTGGTGCCATTGGAATTTTTCGCTTACTGCTGAAGATGAGGATAGAGCGATTATGGGAGTGTCCCGAGGTGCTGTGACATCGATTCTGAATTCAACATTTCAAGTGCAATGTTCTGTAAAGAAGGTATTTGAATACCCATAACTGTTTGATTGTTATAAGATTTGTTGAAGTAATTGTTTATGTTGAAAGATACCTGCTGATAATGAAACAGTTGATGTTTGTACTTGTGCTACATTCGTTTGGTTTTTATATAACCAGAGGATTAAACAGATAAACACCCCATGCACACACATACACACTCATACAATTGTAAACCTTTATTACCACTGCACAGATTCTCACACAAATAATATCTAAAAAGAAATATGTCCAGTCTGGTCATATATC